TTACACAATTAAAAGAATGCTTTGAAGAATCTGAACTGAGGGCTTAAAAAGCTATAAAATCAGCAAATGGTGCACTTCAAGAGAGAAATCTCTCTGACACCATCCACTGTTGTTCTTGAGAAGCCGGAAGAAACAGATTGTCTCCCTTCAAGGATTGTGTTAAGAACTTTACCTGTCAGCATTGGAACCCCAGTACCTTGGACTGGTGGGATCCCAGCTCTCGCTCTCTCTCTAGGCATAGATTTCTGAACCTGAATTATATTAGTTAAGCTTGAGCTAAGTTTCCCCAAATACTTAGTGAAACCAGGGTAGTATTGTAATTGTTTTGTTTGTTTTCCTTTGCATGTCTATTACCATGTATCATAAATTTCATATACTTAGCAATAAATAACTTTTATAGTCAAACTGGCAGTAACCGGGTGTATGTTTCCTTCTCTACTTTCCTCCCCACTTGCTCTGCAGCAACACTACTTTTACCTAAGCTAAAGATCCCTGTGAAGCCCAGAAATACTGTGGGGTCTGTTCATCGAGAAGCTACCACTACTAGGACAGTTCGGACAAAAGATTGGGACGTGCTGAGTTTGAAACACATAAGGGGATCAGCTTGTACAGGCTGATTGACCCAGTTTGACTCAGACGTGCCCTAATAAACTGAATGCTGGCCCAAGAGGGTGTCAGCTAGACACCCAGCTAGATTTAGAGGTATTCTGTTCATCTGCGTGCTTGCATCTGGCTGCATTTTACTGTTACCTTAATGAACTGATTCCTGGCATGAGGGCGTCAGCCTGTCCATGATGATCAACCCAGCCAGGTCAGGCATGTCACATTAATCTGTGTGTTTGTGTGCATGACTGATTTAGTGACTGGAGGAACCCAATCCCATTGAAACTGAGTCCTGCAAGATAGCTCCATTGGAGGTAAGGAACTGGAGAAGGGAGAGATACAGCTCCATATAGAAACACAAATAACACAAGTAGCACATTGATAGAATTACAAAGACCCAAGAAACTTATCCTTAATAAACGAGCACACCCCGAAGTGATGGGCAAATCTAGTAACAATGCCTACAAAGTCAAATGCTTCGCAAATTGGCTGGGGGGCTGCACCCAGAGAGTGGTGGTGGATGAGTCATTTTCGACCTGGAGGGATGTGAGCAGCGGGGTTCCCCAGGGCTCAGTCCTCGGGCCCGCACTGTTCAACATCTTCATCAGTGACTTGGATGAGGGGGTGAAAAGCACCTTGTTCAAATTTGCGGATGACGCTAAGATGTGGGGAGAGGTGGGCACGCTAGAATGGAGAAATAGGCTGCAATCAGACCTAGACGGGTTACACGGGTGGGCAGATGAGAACAGGATATGTTTCAACACTGACAAGTGCAAGGTACTGCACCTAGGCAGAAAGAACCAGCAGCATACCTATAGGCTGAGGAACTCCCTTCTCATCAGCATAGAGGCAGAAAAGGATCTTGGAGTCATTATTGATTCCAAGATGAACATGGCTTGCCAATGTGAGGACACTGTCAGTAAGTCCAACTGCACCTTGTCATGCATCCACAGATACATCTCAAGCAGGTCCAAGGAGGTGATCCTCGCCCTCTATGCAACGTTGGTCAGGCTGCAGTTGGAGTACCACGTCCAGTTCTGGGCACCACATTTAAGAAGCGATGTGGACAGCACTGAGAGGGTCCAAACGAGGGCCACTCGCATGGTCTGGGGGGCAGCAGAGCAGGCCCTAGGAGAGGCTACGGGACCTGAACCTGTTCAGCCTCCACAAGAGAAGGTTGAGAGGGGATCTGGTGGCCATCTATAAACTTACCAGGTGGGGACCAGCAGGGAATGGGAGAGCCCCTGTTCCCCCCAGCACTACCAGGAGTAACTAGGAATAACGGCCACAAGTTGACTGAGAGTAGGTTCAGGCTAGACATCAGGAAGCACTACTTCACAGTCATGGTGGCTAGGGTCTGGAACCAACTTCCAAGGGAAGTGGTGCTTGCTCCTACCCTGGGGGTCTTCAAAAGGAGGCCAGATAATCATCTAGCGGGGGTCATTTGACCCCAGCATCCTTTCCTGTCTATGGAAGGGGGTCAGACTTGATGATCTGCTCCAGTCCCTTTCAACCCTACCAACTATGAAACTGAGTAGGTCCCTAAGTCATAAGAAGTCAGCGTTTGTAGGATTTACCCAAAACTGAAGACTCAGGGCCCAGTGTTGCAAAGCCAGGGCATCCATCTCACGGCTGGCACAATTTTGAAGCAGTCGCCTTGTCCACATTCTCCATGGCACACTGCCAAAAACATTTAGGACATATTCAAAACATGCAGTTTGGTACAGGGACCTAGTCTCCTCTTATCAGGAAAGCAAAGGGCTCTCTAGCTCTACCTAGACATATCAGCAATGAGGTACTGCCTGCCAGCTTGAGTCTTATGGAGCCTTTTCACTTCAAAGTATATAGGGAGGAGGAGTAGAGACAAAAAAAAAAAATCATAAAGATCAGTCAACAATATTCAGTGCAGAAGATCATGTGATAGAGAGAGATGGAAGCTCTGCACTTATGGTTAATAAACGATTCTTTCAAATCCATTCTCACCGCAGAGTGCTCCTTTCACTGAATACCAGGGCCTTAGATTGCATGCTATGCTTGGTCCTCCGAACATCAACGTAGATCAGCCAACACCGCCATGTCCAGCGTAACTTCTGCTTCTCTGCTGCATACAGCAATGATTACATCACTTTTAAAAGACATCCTATGAGGATTTGGCAATTCTGTAACAAATCCATATGGTCACTCCAGCTCAACTTCCCATCCCACCAGCCTCACAGTGCCACTTGGTAGGAAAGCCTAGAAGTGCATGTGGTCGAAAAGCCAAAACTGCTCTGCAAGATGTCCGTTAGCTTACTAAGCTTTGTTCAATATAAGAATCTACTGGTATTGCAGATGTTATAACCATCAAAATATACACATACCATGATAGGTTAATTACTTTGTTCCAACTTTAAGATCCCTGTGGGCTTCACATACATGTGCTGATAATATTCAATAATTATTATTTCTATTGTGTTAGGTTTAGTGCAACTGGTTTACTGGAAAAGATTTAGCACCTTATGCAGTCCTTTAGCAAAAGTTCTTAGAAAGTGAAAAGTGAGGCACAAAGAAGTTACTTGTTCAGGTTCATCCAGCAGCAGAGCCAGGAACAGAATACAAGTTTCCCAAATCCCAGTGCTCTATCCACAAGGACACACTACCTTTCACACTACTCATATATAAAGACTGATGTTGCTGAGGCAGAGAGTTGTTAATGAGAAAGCATCCAAACCAGCAGCATAACTGGGAAGCAGGGAGAGGGGGCAGGCAAGTGGAACACCAGCTTCAGGCACTGATTTACAGCAGGTGCCAATGGACTCCCCTCCCCCAGAAGTCTTTATCACTGCAAGGGCAGCCCTACACTGCCTGGCCATAGGAACTGAACAAGCATAGCCCCATGGCTAGTAGTGTATCTGAGGGGGGAGACAGGTGTAATCCCCCCCATGCTTGTCCAAGGAGGCTTTGCCACAAGAGGAACATGCTTGCACCTGAAGGGGCAGGGGAAATACACTAGGTACAAAGAACAGCCCCCAAGGAGCCTGCACTGCTGCCTGTCCCCCACCAGCAGCAGTTGCCCAAACCCATACTGCTGCAATAGCAGCCACAACAACAGCTGTTGCTGGAGTAAAGACAACCAGGCAGGTAAGACTCTCCCCACCCTCACAGTTCTCCACTAGTCATCATAAACCCTGCCCCCCCATCTCTGCCCTGGGCACTGGAAGAGCTAGTTATGCCTCTGATGTAAAGCACATGTTCACACACCCCTCCCACACATGCACACTCCCTGATTTTATGCTGTTTTGTATTTTTTTTTTTTTTTTTTTTTTAAAAAAAAAAAAAAAA